TCTTCACTGATTTGGATTGGAGTTTTGAATCACTTATCAGTTATCTCCAGGCAAACCTTTTTTATTTCCCTCTACCAGTCCTCTTGGTTCCAACCTAGTAGCTTTAAAGATTGCTGTGCACATCATTGCTGTTTCTGATGCAGGGGTGGGCCGGGTGGATTTACTGTCATAAGTTTGCACATGAGGTAGATAGGGTAACAAAGGGCTGCAATCACAGGATCTTAGCAGCCTGCAGGAATGGGCTGACAGAAACCTTATGAGGTAAGGGCTGGTGTGAGTCAGGCATCTGGAGCAGCATCCCTTGCAACACTGTGAGATAGAGAGCAGATATGCAGGCAGCCTCCTGGGAAGAGGTGGAAAGAACATCTTCATTCAAAAGAAAAGAATGGAATGTCAGGCATCTTACTGCTGTCTCAACTACCTTCCATGAGGCAGAATGGATGAACCTGGATTCTTCATACTCTTGGTACAAAGGGACAAAATAACAGGCAATGGAGAGAAGTTGCAGCAAGGGTGATTCTGATCAAGGCCATGACAAAATTTGCCTTCTTTTCAAGTCAGGGGCTTAAGTTGGACCAGTTTCCTTCCAACTGAAGGTGTTTATGAGTTTCACATCATTTCATATCAAGAGGTATAATGGAAGCTCATAGGTTGTGAATTCCTTATGTGCAGTCAGTGACTTCTGCATTTGAGAGTGCTGTCTGGGAGAGGTTGATCTTGTTCATTATAACCACACAAATTCCAGCTTGTGCTGCTGCTAAATAAAACTGCTTTCTTAACAGGGTTCACGCCCCTTTTAGCACTTTGGATTAATTATGTGGCTGTTAACCTAATGGAAGCAGGCTGAGCAGGTAATTGAAGACATCTTGAAATAAATGAGATAAATGGTAGCTGAAGCAGCTTCAGACTTGAAAGCTCAGAGGAAAACCATTTCAAAAATCATAGAGTTGTTTGAGTTAGAAGGAACCTTAAAGATCATTTGGTTCCAACCCCCTCTGCTGTTGTCAGGGACACCTTCCACTAGAGCAGGTTACTGAAAGCCCCATCCACTCTGGTCTTGAACAGTTCCAGGGAGGAGGCATCTGACTGTAAAACTCCCTGAATGAATTTCACTGTAATTTTTTTACAGTTGCACATTTACTGTACAAAACTGTATTTTAGGAAAGGTTAGAAGAGAAGATTTTGAATACTGTTACAGCAAACCCCCCCCATTCTTTCTTAGAATGTGTTTGCTGTATTCTCCGTTGATTTTTGTTGGATTTAAGGAAACCATGCTAATGTATTTTTAACTGAGCACATAATTCCTGAAGTATTTTCAGGAGAAATCATTAACTCATTTCACTAAAAGTGTGTGCTGCAGAACTTCAGTTTCGCATCACAGATTTTGTGCTTTTGCAATTTTTTTTAGTACCAGTTATTTTCAAAGTGGAAGTATTTTTAAATTTAATTAATTTTTATAATAAGGTTTCTGGTTTCCATACTTGATTAAAAAATCACTAAGTTATTTCAAGAAGCACAGGTCTGCAGATCCTCTTTCAATAAAAGCTGGACATATGCAGAAGTCTGTGTATCAAGTGTGCTGTAGAATATTTAAATCATGGATTGCAGGAGATGTAAGACTTGCTTCCAATTTCAGTAGAATGCTTTTCTTAACCAGCACTACTGTAATTAATTTTTAATTTCTCAAGATACATAATTCTTTTAGATACTCTAAAATCCATTGTAGAGTCAAATATTAATTACATTTCTAGCTCCATCCCTGTTCATTTTAACCACAACCACAAAGAATATTTCACGGCTGGTAATTCAGCTAAATTGCATGTAGCTCTTGAGTATCAAGGGCAGTTCATGCCCTGTCTCTCTCCTTTTCCTTCCTTCTTTTTTGCAGACTTCAGAAAAAATCAGCAATGACCTGAAATTTAGTACAGTGATGGCTGTGTCATAGATTTGCTGGGGTTTATTTTGCATTTGCTGGCTTTAATAATCTAGGGGAATATGGTTGTGATGTGGTTTAAAGGCTGTAAAATGCTCATTTGTCTCATATCTAAAAACATCACCAGCTTTTCAAATATATTATTGCTGACAGAATGTATAGTTCTTTATTATAGTACTTCTGGCCCTTGAGACTAACTAATAAAGTCTGAAATTCATGTGATTGATTTTCTTGAGCCAAATGATTTTAAATATATAATTAGGTACTTTGTTAAAGTGTGTGTGTTAAGGTTCAGTGATTGATTTTTTTGTCATGAGTCACAGCCTTATGTCTCTTTCTTTTATTCAAACACTTGTATTAAAAGCTATTCTGTGAATAAATATCTAATTCGTGCTTAGAGTTTTAGTAACTGTCCCTGCTTTATGGTTTTCTAAGTTCTTTTTATTTAGCTCTCTCTTTAAAGTGTAACTTTATAATTTATGGTTTGTCTCAGTTACCACTTAAGTATAATTATATGAATGGTATTCTTAAGATTATGGAATGTAAAATGACAAAAAGTTTGGTTTAGTTTGTAAAAGCTGTAATTGCTGGGAACATAGTATCCCATTTTGCAAATTTGTCTAGAACTGACATCAGTTGTAGATTGAATGCTTCTAAAAACTTATTTTCAGACATTTTAGATATTCCTCATTCTAAAGCAATAAATTTTAGTAAGGTAGAACATTACCAGTATATTTCTGTTTTGGAAAACATTTGCTTTAGACTTTGTCATTGCATTTTTTTCATATGTCATTGAACAGCTTCAGGTATCATGGAGTAACTTTATTTTTAAATGTGATTCAAGCCTTGAAAATCACATCATTGTGAACTGTGTCTTTGGCATGCGAAAAAAAATTCAGTTATTAAAACTTCATATTTTTACATCCCACCTAATTTTGTTTCTCTGTATGAAAATATTACTGCATTGCAGTCTAATGTGTCAAAAACCATTTCTAAATTATCAGGAATTACCAGACTTTGGATGCATTATGTGTTGTCTATTCTAAGTTTTCAGTGTAAAAGGTCATTGTATGAAGTATTTTGAGTCTTGTATTTCCCAGGGAAGGTAAATTACCAGGCAGAGGGCCAGAGGGAATCCAATGTTTGCGTCACTTTGTGTGATTTCGTAACTTTACACATTGAGGATCTCCCTCAGCTGTTTACAAATGTGGTGCTCTCTCTACTATATGTAAGTAATATACTCATGCATAATTTTGCTTAAATTTTTAAAAAATATAAATTACTTTTTTCCATATTAAATTTTAATTTGTTTTTATATTAGAGGAGACAAACAAGTAGCAGGTACGGGTTAAATCCTTTTTTTACTTCCTTTAGTAATTTCAAAAGTTCATTGTTCCTCCCAGTTGAGTCTGAAAACATGACTGGTTTAATCTTTGCAGTACTTGGCTCTAAAATCAAAATTTAGAGGAAACAGGATCTGTCTGTGAGTCAGTATGCAGAACAGATGAAGTGTAGGGGCCACGAAGAAACATTCTTTTTCTTTCAGCTCAAGGTCTGTATCATTACTGAGAAGTAATGTCATATTTTGTAATAGTGGGATAGGAGTGCCAGACTGTGATCTGTTTTGAGTAGGATTAAAATGCTGATGTTATTGCCTTGATCCTCTCCTAGTTTCTGCTGTATTTGCTGTTGATGTTTTTAAGCTAAGACACCTTCTTACAAATTATTTTCAGAGCACCTTGTGCCATTATTTCAATTGGAGTCACTCATTCTCACCTTTCTTATCCTTTTAGAAGTAATTAGTAGCTTGTATATTTTGATGATGTTGAAATAATGTCCAAATTGCAGTCCTTTCTGTAGTGCCTGACTTCATAGAATCTGAATAATTATTTGTCATAGGAAATGGACCCAGGGTCATCCACTGTTGGGAAGTTGGCTTACACATGGATGACAAATCCCAAGGGATTTTAACAGTGATAGGCAGTACAAATGAAAAGAGTTTTCATGCATGAGATACAATGCACATTTCTTCCTCGCATTCAAGTAATAAACTAAATTCATCATTTGAGCCAAATGTCGTGGGAACAAATAATTTACTATATCCAGTATCTCAGTGTCACCTTATTGTGCTTTTCAGCTCTACATAATACTTCTTTCATCTGTAATTACCTAATTATCTTTTTAGCCTTCTAAGAAAATAATTCTTCATCTTGACATCTTTAAATTGTGCTTTTGTTCAGTAATTTCCAGTGTGTTGGTACTGTGTAATGGGTGTTTATGATCAGTTTTGAGATAGCAAAATATCTAAATATGGTTATGCCACTGTGCTGGGAAAAAAAAAAAGGGGGTTACAATCCTAACCAATTCTGAGTTCTAGTTGCTGAAAGCAAGACTGAGAAGCATTCTTGTAAGTCTCAGCCAAGAAAGAGGCACTTCCCTTGTGTTTGTTAAGCCAAGGAAGTGTGCGCCCAGAGTTCAGCTGTAGCTAGCAGTGGAGAAAACGTTCCTTAGCAACAGAAGTTCATCAAATAAAAGACAGATTTAAATGCAACTTGAAATTAAGGAAATAGTGTCTGTCAAATTTTAAAATGTGGAAATAGATTCTGTTTCCTAGACCGGAGGAAGACAAATATAAAGGCTCAGAAATGGAAGAACTTCTAAGTCAGAGTGGGGAGGAGTTACTCTGATGCACGTTCCTTTCACTATGAGCTGCCATAAGTGCGCCTGTGCTCTTACTGTGCATCCATAACAGCCTGGTCTTCTGTAGCCTTCTGGAAAATACATGGCTCTGAAAGGAATGGAAGTGATACTTTACTGAAGCTTGGAGTGGTGGCTTGTAATGGTCCCTTCTATTTTGCCCCTCCAGTCATGTAACCAGACCTGTCATGGTCTGATCACTCCTGCTCCCGCACACAGTGCCCTTGTGGCAAATCTCATCCACAGAACACATTTGAAACAATCAAAACTATACATCTTGAGAGAAAAACCCTCTATCCTAGAAATGGCTAAAACCCTAGAACTTCAGTAAACAGTAGGAGTAATATTTTTTCACTCTTGTTTTGTCTAGGTTTGTAATTGGACGAGAAAAACCGGGACAAGTGAGTGAGGTTGCGCAGCTGATTAGCCAAACTCTAGAACAAGAGCGCCGCCAGAGAGAGCTGCTGGAGCAGCATTATGCACAGTATGATGCAGATGATGATGAGGTAACAGACTGTCCAGTGTTTCACTGTTTGCTGTTTTTTAATGTTCTGTTTTTCTATTTCCTTATTTTTACTTGCCACTCAGAGGTCAACTTTTGGACCTTCCCATTACTTTTGCTGATGATTTTTATGGATTTTGATGATGAATTCTAAATGAAGAACAAACGTATAGAAATCTTTTCATCATGGATTTAAAATGTTTGTTTTGTTCCAGAAGAGCAAATATCAAGTTGGTTGATGCTTCTGTAAGCATTCCTCTTCCTTGAAAGCCTATGCCTTTCTGAAATAAGGGAGTAAAGCTTGTTTGGTTGTGCACTGAAACATTCAAGTTTTGTGGAAGCTGGTAAAAGTTACCTTCTAATTTTCAGCAGGATTAGGAAGTTGGGTTTTTTTTTTTCTAGAAGAATTTATATTCTTCTTAAGTCTTCTTATGTCTTCTTAAGAATGTTTTCTGAAATTCTAGGTAAGACCCCTCCTTCCACACACTGTGATTTTGTTTCTGTTTGAACAGATATTCCTCAGGATAGAGAATTAGCCTACCTTGTCTGAAGTGTTTATTCATGCTTACTGTTAGTGCCAATGCAAAGATTTTGAAAGTAACAACTCTGTGCAGTAAAATTTCCATAATTTCTTTCCATTCTCATAAAATTCCTAGTATGCCTAAATACCAAGATACTTGGAAAAATTACTTGGAGAGCTTTTTCAGAGACTACTGCTGTCTGTGTTGCTCCCTAAATAAGCTGCTGGGTTTTGTAACAAACTGCTTCCATATAGCTCAAGCATACTGTCATCATTTCACATCATCTTGAGTAATATGATTTGAAATGCTAGACTCCATGTATTAGTGTGTTGTCATCCTGGGCCAGGTGTTTTTTGTTTTTTTGTTTTGTTTTTTTTTTTTTTTTTTTGTGTAAGGGAACAGTAGATAAGGGAAGAGAGAATTCATGATATGCATTTAATTCAGGTTAGTTTTTGTTTTTAGAAAAAAAAATATTCTTGAAATAAAATCAGGATATACTCAGATTTTGAAGCATGCTGTTAAAATAGCAATATATCAGAACAATCAGAAGTGTCCCAACAGGCTAAGTAAAAATCCTGTCTAGCCCCAGTAATGCTTTCACTCACTGTAATTTCCACTGATATTAAGAATAAAAATATTTCAGTATGACTTAGAATTAATTCTGTCACAGAGACATATGTAACTCATATAAATAAGATCTGAACATACATGCATACCTATGTGTGCCTGTGGGAGACCATGAAGGATAGAAAAATCCATATCCTCTCTGTTCCTTCCTCAAACTGCAGAAACATGCAAGTCTCCTAACTTCTCTTTAGTCTAGAATTAAATTCAAGAGAAGTTTCTTGAAGGAACTCTCTTACAAGCTCTTCAAAAACAAAATGGAGTGACTAGGGCTTGGGCAAAGGGACTTTTCACCACTCATCACAACCTGCTGTAGATGTCAGGGTTCCAAGACTTTCAGTACCATTTTATGGTGAGCATGGTCTGATTGCTTTCATACAGGCAAGAGAAGGGTGTCCCAAATGCCTGATGATTAAATCTTTGTCACTGTGTACTTGCACGTAGAGGGGTGTGTGGCTGACCTGTGTGAGTAATTGATGCACTGCACCTTTTTTCTGTGGGACACATTCACCTGCAAAAAATCTCAAATGTTTTTGTTTCTTACCTTCATGCACCACACAGGTGATGTTACTCAACATGTGGCAATAAAGAAAATGTTGTTAAACCCCTATTGATCAATCCTGGTAGTACTTCAGCCTACAGTAGGCATTGTTGCTGTGAAGATGCTAATGGTGACACTGTCACACTGATGGCCATGCAAGAGTTTCCCAGGGCAGTACTGAAAGAGGACAGGGATGAGTAGCTATGAGTAGGTATCAGGTACTTCTTGTGATGTGTCTTGTCCTTGCAATTTGGTGGTTACAAACTCTTAAGTCCTGTTCACTGCATAAATTTTTCACAAAAGATACTAAATTCACAAAGTGTTTTCTGTTGGTAGTGCTTTGGATCACAGAGAGAAAATAAAATTGGGCAAGTTTTCCCCAGATTTTTTCAATAATTAAGAGAGTTAAAGGTATCTTTTCTTATTCTAGCACTACACTGAGGATGGTGACTATGACATGATTTTTGGCAATGGCCTTTGGAGTGCAGAGGAGAGTTTTGTGTTGCATATGAGGAAAGGAGGAAGAAAAGAAAAGACATCTACCAGGGAAGGAGAAAGAATTAGGTCTGAGAACAAATGCAGTGCTTAAAACTACATTGGGATTATTGAGGGTCATACCCATTTTTTACTTGATGCCATGTATATATTTGAGGCATGGGTGGTAAACATTTTCAGAATAAATGCTGGGGTTTAGTTACTAAGGTAGGCAGTGTAGCATGTTCCTGTTCTTAATTATGAGACTTACCAGAAATAGATTTTATTGAATACCTGCTGTAATCTGAATATTACTATTTTTTAGCCACCTGACTATGCTATCCAGGTCTACTCACATAACTTTGCACCATTCCCAGACAACTGATATGATGCAAACTGTGATCTAATGCACATCAGTTCAAAGACATTTTTGGTCACCACAAGCACTTCTGCTCCATTTACTGTCAAATATGAGCATTACTTCTTTGAGCGTACCTTGCTCTATGTGGACAAGTCTGGCTGGGTTTATGTTGCTGCCAGACACCACGACCAGCCCTGCATTCTTGGCTCTTTTGGGCAAGAAAATCTCAGTTTGCACTGGCTGAACGAATATCTACAAGTGTAGATCACAAGTGTATCACTACTACCCTTTTGAGGCTTTTTCATCAAAGGGAGTAGTGACTCTGACTGCTTGGAGTTCAGGGGTATTTGGATTGCCCGTGTGAGGAGTTTGGCATTGAGGCAGCACAGAATTACACAAGCTGCTCAGTCTCAGAGCTGTCAAGCCATCCTGTTCATTTTCCTACACCGTTTAAAATATGGTACCATGGATCTCCAGGTACAGTGCTGCATAAACAAACAAGAAAATGATCTTGAGACTGCCAAATTCTGAGGCTCAGAGACTTCACCACAAGTACAGCAATAATATTTTGAGTTTTCCAGAGCAGGAAGTCAGTGAACTTGTTTGAGTCCTGCGGTCATGGCACATGACTTGTGTTTGTTAGAGGTGGTTAAACCACAGGAAGAGAATGTGTGCCAGGCATGTACAAGTTCTGGTGTTTTATCTTGCTGTGTCACCAGCTCGCTGGATTTCCTGTTTTGGAGCTTCTGAAAGTCTCCTTAGCCCAAGGAGTATGTAAGTATTTTAGGAGGATCCAAGTTATTTGAAAAAGCAGTATTCTGAGACAGTTTTGGTTTTTGCCAGCTAGTGGGCAGTGGACTTGAGTTGGATACTAAATTTAGAGATGCAGTGTTAGCCTACTACCTTCTCATTCCATTACCTTGCAGGAATCTTGCCTGACAGCTATTTGTTGGGCAAGATTTACACTAATACATAGTGTTTCTAAAATACATATCATTTGCTGTGTAAGTAATACTGAAAACTCATCATTTACTATGTAAATGCCCTGCATCCCTGCATTTCAGAATCTACTGTTACCATGGGCCATCACAGGGTTGCAGGATGCTTTCAGGAGCTCCTTCATTTAAGTTTTTGCATGGAAACATAAAGCCCTTGTGCAGAACTGATGAACATGAAAAGAAAATGGATATTCACAGTGGAGTTCATGCAAAGACCAGCAGGATAAGTGTGCATCAGCTCACAATTTGTTGTTAAGCTCCCACAAGCCCAGCACTTGAGCCAGTAGTATCAGCCATTTCTCAAGTGTTACGTACAATAGGCAGCTTTGGCATTTCCTAGTGAGTCTGTGCTAATCACAGTAAAGCTGGGAGAATATGTTGCCTCTAGATAGCCTGCTGCAGAGTTTGCTCATCACCAGTTTGTCTAGATTCCTAAAATCCCACATTCTTTTGATTTGTAGCATCCTGTCAGAAAATAAAACTCGAAGGCTTTGAAGTAGGCACTGTCTTTGTATTTCCTACTTAGTGTGCTAAGTATGACCTGAATCTGTATCCTTGGCTGAAACATTTTGAATTTCCTGTGTTAACATAGTGTTCTGTGCACATGAGTCAAATTCTGACATTTCTTGGAATTTTGATTTGAACTTGGTATTATCTTCTTCATGTTCTACATCAAATGACAAAAGTCACATAAAGCAAATTACCTGTTCTCCAGAACACTGCATGAGGTGTTGCACAATGTGAAATGAACAATATATTTATAGCAGGATTCTGTTCACTCTGTGGCCACAGACAAGTAGTTTAATGCAAGTGATTTTTATAATATCACTAATAGTCAAATGAATATTTTTTTCATTTTAAATTCTCATTCATTAGGACATGCTGAGAGCAAAACAACATTTAAAACCATTGAAGAAAATGTTGATACATGCAAATAAAATAAAAAAAAAAGTGGCAATGTACTTGAATGTCTTAACACCCAACGAGTACATTTTTTTAACCAAATCTTTCAGAGAGTACATTTTTTCCAACATCATTAATATGATGCACTCCTGTAAAAGCAGTGATTAATACTATGCCATTATGTTTTTGTTCACTCTTTTGAAAGAATTAAATATAAGCCATCAAATCAAAAACCAAATGAAGAGATGGGCTTGAGTTATTTTTATAGTTCTTCAGATTGTGTTCTCTGATTGTGGGAGAATTTCAGCAGGAGCAAAAGCTGTAGCTTGATGCAGCCTTTGTTATGGTGATTTGGGGAAGGTCTGTCTGCATTATCCTGGCTGGTGCTGCAGCTCCGTCTTTATGGTTGGGAGTGTTAGGCACATTTCAGAAATTTACTGCTAAGGCATTTAAACAATGCAAGTAACACATTTTCCCTTTAGAAGTGGAAAATTGCAGCTCATGTTGGTAATTTCATGCTATTAGCTGTGATTGCATATGGCAGAATGGAATGGCTAATACCAGAAGCTATTGCTTTGGATG